CCCCACTCCTGTATCATCGCTTTCTATGTTAACATGACCGTTAGCATTTAATTTGCCAATAAGTGGCCCAGCTTGTGATGACAGCGCTGAACTGAGCAAGGTGCAGAGAAACAATCCAGAGAATTGCTCTGTCATCACGGGTTGGGCGAGGTGCACGAATGAGTTCAAGAAATAATTATAATCGTTCTCGGATGTAAGCATGCTCAGTATTATATGTATTTATACATAAACGGGACGATGTAAAACCCTTGCTGCACGCCTTCAACATAACCCAACAGGAACGACTCACGTTTCCAAAATGTCTCACCGGTATCAACACGTGAGAGCGCAACTCGAACAATAAATTATCGTTATCTCCTCCAAGGCCTTTTTTTTTTTTTTTTTTTTGCTTTTTGCTCCTTAAAAGGTGTTAAGACCTGCAATAACTCAAAAAGAGGATTTCCAATTTTTAAGAAATTCTAAGAAATGAGCTTATTTTTAAAGTATTTGATTAGGTTGCTACCAATTAACTTAGTAATAAATTTATTATGATTATAGAGCTGTCTTGGCGGAGATCTAGGCTCTATGAGTGGACCCAAAGCATTAAAACGTTTATTTCTATGAATAGATACATGTTACTGTAGCTTCAGTGCATTGTCATTTTTTGTCATGAAATCGTCTCTCGTGCGTTACACGTCAAAAAATGGGAACCGGATATAGTTAATTTAAGTCTCATTTAATATCTATTCACTAGGTCCCTGGACCGAATCTGAATAGGGAAACGAAACTACACGCTAGCTGTGGTTTCGCTCTCGTGCGTTTCTGAAGAAAACGAAACAGAATTGGGTCATACAGTACTAACATCTGCGATTACACGTTCAGATGATAGGATTCCCTTACACATTGTTGTTCTATGAAAAGCAGAGTGTATTCCAGATATTTAAATCCTGAAATTGAACGATTTGTATTGTTCACGTGTAAGGGAGATCATACTTTGTACCGAAGTTGAAAACGGAAACGTTTTCTTCACCCATCACAATTTGCGATGAAGAACAATTTTTGTATGCCGTAAATGATCCCTGAGATGACCAAAAAATGCTAACAATGCTATTCTGAGGGTTTTCTTTTCCATAATGTACAGCTTCAAAACAGACTGGTATGAGATTTAAGCGCTGGTTGAGTGTCATTTACGGTTAAGAATTAAAAAGTTTAAAATGCACAGCAATGTTTGGAAACAAAATCATTTGTTATAATAAGACAAATCCATCACTTTTCACAAAAAAGCACCCCTAATGCAATCCAACACTTAGGAGTATTTTGACAGACTTTCCAAGAAGATAAGCCTTTGCTGTTACGCAGTATCGTGGACATGCAGATATAGATTTCTGCATCAAGTGAAATTGTTCTTTGCTTTCTTTACGTAGTTACAGCTTATGCTTCTTTAATTTTTATCATTTACACAGAAATGACCTTGACTCAACGTTACCTCAAAAAAAATTCTATTCTGGAAACTGAAGTCAATAATCATTGTTTGTGGATCATATCAAGATTATTAATCATATATCTGTATGATTGGCCTGTTCGGGCCAAATATTTTGTCACTGCCCTGGACTAAAATTCCTTTCTCTGAAATTACGCATTCTTACAATCACGCATTCTTACAATCATGCTTATAAACATTTATTTAAATGCATGTTACAGCACCTATAGTTTTTTCGTTTTTTAGATTGCCATATTCACTGGCCACCACACTCTCAGCTGCTAAAAATAATGTGAACAAGATCTAGAAAAATATTTGGACTTTGTCGGCAGAATTTCATCCATGCTAACTATTTCGTTTCCTCCAACAAATTGCTGCATTCGGTCTTATATGCTTTATAAATTTAGCGTGTGTGGAGTAGACATCAGTCCGACCTTGTTAGATAAGACCCATGCAGTTTTATTGCTCCACGCAAAGACCGCAATCCCTAATCCTGGCGTTTTCCTCGGGACAGCACTCGCAGGAGTAAACCTTCAATTCCGGCACGAGTTGGGCAAGGCGTATGGTTTCTTCGAAGTTCTCTACCCTGTTAAACAAAAAAATAAAATCTTTTGAATTTGACTTTTTACATCAAAAGGTCGTACATTTACGTTGTCATTAAAATGTGCATTTTTATTTCATGTACTACGAAAACATTTTCTTCTAGTTATATTCACTTTGAAAATAGGTCATGCCGAATATAATGCTATCTGTTGGTTACCTGATCGGATGAAGATAGTCACCAGAGGATGGCAGAGTATATCCCAAATATAATTCTGGAACATAATGCAGATTTCGTTTAACTAATGGGTTTGCACGAGCGAGCGTGCGCGTTTGTGTATGTGTTTGAGAGAGAGAAAGAGAGAGAGATTGAACTCCAGTGGTAGAATCAGATAAATCTACTTGGTAATGATAATTCTGGCACATTAAGTTATCAATTCTGATGATATTCGTTATCAAGTTCCATAGCGCTGAACTCGCTGAAATTAAGAGATAGAAGAATTTTTAATTCAACATAATCATAGTTATAATCTTGTTCCATAGCGAGGAGTTTATCTACATTTTTTTTCTTTTTAGGCACCCAGCCAGTTAGACAGAGGCACTTTTTACGCTGTGTGTCACTCTACATGTCTCCAAATGCTCGGGGATATCGATTATTTAACCGACTTAAGGGGGTTGACCTCCCCAGACGGAAGTACGTTGAGAAAGTTGATAATTGTGGAATTTTTGTCTCTTTAACACACGGTGCGCTTGAAAATTTGCGAATAGAGTAACTAAAACCCTTAATATTTGGCTTCCTTCGTCCCAAGTGTGCCCATGAAATATAACATGGGTGCTGAGCCCATCCATGCACGGTCAGTTTACCGCGCGAACAAGTACGGCGCATTGAAGCTATATTCTTTCCTTTCCTTATGTAGTCACAACTTATGGCTTTGTTTATTTTACCAGGAATAAATGACATTGATTCAATTGCCCCTTAAAAGAATACTTTTATTTTGTAAGCTGAAGTCAAAAATTGATTGTCGATCATACCAAGAATTCCTGATTACATAAATGTGTAGTTACCCTACTTGGGCCAAATACATGTATTTAAGGCACTGTCCTGTTTTTTTTCTTTTGAAATTGTGCATTCTTACAATAATTACTTCATATGCAGGACTTTTTAAAATAATGCTTGTTACATCTATTTTAAATCGAGTTACAGCATCTTTAGCTTTTTCATTTTCTCGGGTCTCCCCTAACTTTCAGCTGCAGAAAGTCGCGTGAACATGATATTGTTAAATATTTGGACTTTGTCGTCAGAATTTCATCTGTGTTGTGTTAACTATTTCATTTCCTAAAACAAAATGCTGCATTCCTTTACAAAGAAAATGGTTTATAGATAGATGAATGTGTATTGCTAACGTTTTTAAAGTTTTTTAAAACATTTCTTAATGCCTGTGGAGAAAATATCTGTCCGACCTTGACAGAGAGAGAGAGAGAGAGAGATTTTATATCACATAGTGGATAATGGTAGAGTCAGATACTACTAATGACAAGTCTGCCACATTACCGCAACCAAATTCGCCTACGCCTACATGTACATGTAAGTTCTCAATTCTCTGGAAAGGGTTCCTCGCCGTCTCTGAAATTAAAAGTTATAAGAATTCTTAAATTATCATAATAGTAATAATAATAATTTTGTTCTACATGCCAGTTGTCTGTCTACCAGTTAGATGGGTAAGGGTAGCGCAGTTTCGCATCGTGCGTTGAAGTACCTGTATCGAAATACTTAAAGGGAGATTGAAGACTTTATAGCCACAAAAGAAAGGGGTTAAACTCCCAAGAAAGAGGTATTTTGAGTACATGCTTCTTTTACACACGGTTCATGTACACGTGAAATAATTTGTTTACAGAATAACTAAAATTTGGCTTACTTGTCCCAAGTGTGCCCATGAATATAACTTAGGTGCTGAGCTTACTTTTGCACCTTTAATCCACGAACAGTTTATCGGATTAATTTTGATTGCTCCTAACAGTTGGAATCGAACCCGCGAAAGTGAGTAACCCCCCTCAAGTAATGTTCTTACATGTTTGGATCAGACTGTTTTGTTACTGATACGTGTACATGTACACATGCTGTAAAAAAAAAACACTAACTGTCTAACTATCAGACTCACACGCTACATAAAGAACATAATACTAAGACCTCCTCTCTTCTTTTTCAAAACCAATTTTCAATTACATTGAATTTGATGACATTTGATTTTATTCTATCCTGTACATCATGCGACACCGGCAGTTACATTAATCTGTTTTAACGGACAAATATGCATTAAATACCGGGTACCTACCGCCAGCTTGTCCAATTTGGCGTGAATGGGCTGGTGAATATGCTGCAAAAACCAAGCCGATTAAAATAACACCGAAGAATCGAACCGCCATCGTGAACCAACTGTTTGCGCGAGAAAGCCGCTTCACTTGCCTTGTATTAAATGTATTCAGTGGGGTAATAACTATTAAATTCGTAGTGGCTGAATTATTGGTGATGCTCACACTCGGGCTGACGTCACTTGCCTCAGGGTAACGCCATTGAAAAAAACATGGCGGATTTTATTGGCTCCTACATGTACGTTGAAGTTGACAGACTTTGTAATATTATATCAATATTCACAGGGCATGATCACATCTGTCAGGATGGGTGTGCTATTACCAGGACGATTTCTTTACAGGTTTTTGTTATTAGACGGGGTTGCAACAAGGTTGAGTTGGTCCCCTAATTAGCTCATTCTCTTAAAAAAAAGACGCTAGCAAGCGTTTAAACTCTGTTCAAGGGATTGCATTTATATAATACAAGCCGAATGAAGCCTATAATATAGCCTTGATAACATTGCCGCCCGCCCCGCCCACGTCCTCTGGCAGTACCAGCACCAGGTGACTTAATCACAGTTTGTAGTAATCTTATTATAATAATTATATTGTAATCTAATTACATACTACATGTATCTTTGAGTGATGTGCATCTTCCTAGTTTTCATTACGTTCCACGTGCTAAAAAAATGCAATTTTCATTTCACCACCACGCAATCTTAGAGTTGGCGTGCTTGCGTATACCATGGGCAGTTAAAACCGGTTTTATCTCTCAACCAGGTGCGCAGTGGCTAATTACAAAAACCTGTAAAAGAAATCTTCCAGGTTAATGGCTTACCCTCCCTCACAGACGTGATGAATCTATGTGAAGTTTGGTATAATCGTATGTAGTTTGACCACTTTAACGTACGGTAGAAGTCAATTCAATCTGCCATTTGTTTATAGTAGCCTCGTACTGACTCCTCGAAGCCCATTGCCCGGATGACCGACTGTAGTAATTCATGTTCAATGTTAAATTCACGTTCTTCATCTGATGAAATTCCCATAACCAAACTCGTCTGCCTTATCAATAATGTCTGTGGTCCTCTCGCTAGCTATCCATTTCACAATACCTTGTTTCCCCATTTTAAGCCTTCGTGGTACATTTCAACGCAATTCGTTTTTTTTTTCAAAACTAGCAAAGTTAGTGTGTTTACTACATTCCCTTTATTTCGTGTATTTCGATCACACAATTCCCCTTAAAATTATTTGAAAATAGCCCTTTATATACAGTTTGTCTGTAATAAACTGCTTGAAGAAGAGGGAAATCCAGCTTCTGAAAGCTAGTAAACAAATAGTATGGATGTTGTAAAATATTTCCAGTGCTGTATACTGCGTCTTTAAGGCAAGATTTAAATCGCTTCCTGCACATTATATCTTCCGTGCTCGCTGTTGGCTCGGGTCATATTCTAAATTTGATTTACTGGAAACATGTGGCGGAAACAGCTACGTTAATCCCAAGGCCAAGAACGCTGAAGGTTTTAGGTTCGGAATACACCGGTGAAAGTGTGGAAAAGCTTTGTGTATATTAAAAAAATGGTTGCTCTCGGAAATTCGACGCGAACAAAAAGAACAAATTGACAACTTTTTCTGGCGTCACTGACGATTCTGTAATTCTAAGGAACTACATTGTGTCACACTTTTAGCTCTAAAAAGTCTTGAGGCCTGCTAATTTTCTTTAACTTAACAATAGGTAAGCGAAACTGTACATGTATTTTTTTCTTGCTTTTGCTCTCGTTATTTTTTTACCATGCGTACAAATCCCGTTATTCAAAAAGTAAGACACATACATATGTAGATACTAATTTAGAGTGCAGACCTACTATTGATTATTGATTGATTATTGATCAGGATCACCACCAAAAACTAATCATCTCTTCCTTGGCCCACTTCTGACAGTTCCTGAAAATTTCATCAAAATCGGTCCATAACTGTTGATGACAGACAAACAAACAGACAAACAGGGGTGAAAACATGACCTCCTTGGCGGAGGTAATAACCTTGAAACAGAAGTACATGCAACGATGCACTGGTTAGGTCTATTTCTTCATCCAAGGAGTTTGTTTTTTGGTCTCGCTTGTTAGTTGGTTTGTTAGCTTATCTGTCTGTTAACAACATAATGCAGTAATAAAGTTATACGGGGATTTTGATGAAATCTTTGGGATAGGTCAGAAATGGTCTCGTTAAAAAGTGATCAGATTTTGGTGAAGATCCACTGATAAATTATTGATAAATTATTGATTAATAATCAGTTGGTGATTTGTCTTGGCTGAGGTCTGTACTCTGTACTCTGTGAGTACTTTTGTAGTTTCAATCTGAAATATGAATAGGACGGCAGACGAAAATAACTTATCCATATACATACACACTGTATATATATTGTACCGGTACATGTACAGGGTGGGCACTTCAGTGAAATCCCCATGAGTGCCATCGGCATCAAAAGTTTTACGTCCTAATGTTGATTATATAAATTCATTGCCGACAGAAGTGAATAAGATAAGTAAAGATCTCAAACGAATAAATATTATTGTTTTTAAGAACTTCATTAACATCGGAGTGTGTGTGTGTGTGTGTGTGTGTGTGTGTGTGTGTGTCACTGAAATTTATTTTAAGCAAAATCCATACGGTATGTCGTCCCTGTCATTCAATCCCCTGAACATGTTTCGTTACACTTTTCTTACGAAAACTCTCACAGGAGATCTGTCCCACTTTGTTTTCATCAGGCATCTACAAAATTCCAGGCACATGTAAGCGTTGCGCTGCTTCAGTACATAGGATGCCCTGAGACAATGCGCCCATGTTTTTTCAAAATTTTCATTTTCTTCACAATATCTTTGTCTTGTTTCAAATTCATTCACGCTAGCCGATTGCATTTGTGTAACGCCATCCTTTTGGTCTCCCGGGCTTCATTCTGTGGGGCTTCCCCCAGACTTGAAATCTTTTATGCCAGTCCTGTCGATTTGGTTATAATTTTCTCGAAGGCTTCAAAGTTTTCTTAAGACTTCCTACATGTATATTTCATCAAATTTTCACATTGCGTTCAATTCAGCATATATCGTTCCGATGTACTGAGAGTATTATCTTCTAATGAGGACCATTCTGTATGCTCGGACCGCCCTCTTATACTGGTAGACATATAGGCCTAACACAGGGCGGGCAGATGCTCTCAGTCCACACACGTACATAACGTGTGTTGTACATGCACCTACGCATATGTGGGCATGTGTGCTCCTGTCAGTTGTGTTTTTCACACAAAATGCAATCTCGTAGCCTGAGACAGGTATTCAGACAACACTCGCAGGAAATTACGGCCATTCCGTGGATGAGGGACGAAAGATTAATTATTTTTTGAAAGTCAGATTCTCTGAAAATGACGACAATCAAGCATAAGTTTACATATCCTAATGAAAGAGGCACTTGTTTATACTATTCTGATTATTATTCTTAAATAGTTAAACTAAAATATACAAGCGTCATTTACATTTCAGAAAGAGATTGAATAGATCATAAAATCTGAGTTATTTTTTCCCTATTGAGTTTGCGCATGCCTGTGCACATGAGCAAACGTACAAGGGGAAGAAAGAAAGACTTTTCCAGAAAGTTATCATCATAGACCCCTTGTGAACTTTTTATGCCTACACTTACTTGATTGGGTAAATCCTTTCACCGGTGTAGGGCAAAGTATATCCCAGCTGCACATGAGGGGCATTTCCGTCAGGACAAGCCGTTGCCAAAAATGAAATACGCAGAACCTTTCCTGCTAAAGTTGAACACTCTGAAAGGAAGTGAATATAAAACTCCACGTTCATCTTTGTTCTTTTAATGATTATAACTGTCTCACGTGGACATTGCTTATCGATGTGAAGATCCGTCTGTGAATACCTGGCGTTAATTAATCTTTAAATCAGTGCTGGTATTTTTTCCACGACTAGGAAATACGGTGTTTTTTTTTTTTTTTTTTTTTTTTTTTTTTTTTTTTTTTTTGCGATGTCTTTTTAAATTATTTTGCTTGAAATGGCGGGTTGAAAATAAATTACACTTAAAAAGCCGCAAATTTCCTCGCAAATTAATATTGTGTCATGTGTGAGGCATTGTCCCCGAGCGATATCGATACAAGCTTTAGCAAGAGGCGTTCAAGGCATATATCGCTAGAGGCTGACATTGTATCATTTGCAACACATACAGAGAGAAAATACTCGCATTTCGCCACACTCCTAAAACACCGAATAAAGCGTATATCGCCATGGTCACATTATATCTCTATAGATATGCACTGGTATATGTTTTAAATGCGATACTAATGAATGAGTTTAAGCCTGGCAGCATTTAAATTTAAGGGCTAAATGCAGATATATGAGTATAAAAATAGTGTTATGCTATACTTTTGACTCGGTGTTCATGCTACGTGCCCGTACGCAATGGAGATTAACTAATGTGTTTTTTCTAAACTCTAAGAGCGGACCATCGAAAAATTTTTCAATACGCCGATGCGGTTTCTTTTTCTCCGTGGAACACAGTGGTTTTGGGCACCGGTGTATGAACTTTTGCCGTAACCTTAGAATGTAGACGGTACCGGGAGTTGTACGATTTTACAGCCCACGTTGCTTTCGACACCGTAAATAAAAACTACCACTGTACTACTACTGCTACTAATTGAAAATATATCCTATAACGTAATGTTGTTCAGCTACCTATAAAATACTTATAATTACCCGAAGCCACCAACAAAGGACCATGGATTAGCATTATTCCGCAAAGCAACACGCTCAAAATCACGCCGGAGCTACGCACTGTCCAGGTTGCCATCTTGATTAGACTGTCTCGGAAACGTAGGTTCAAGAGTTTGGTGTTGTTTACAACCTCTTATGAGGTCTATTAACACCTGGACTGCAGTATATCTGGTAACGGGCTAAACATAGGCAGCTTCTTTGAATTATAAGATGATTAAAGGTACATACGAACCGAGCATAGGTGGAGGGTGGATTCCCAGTAACACATATAAGAATATAAGTAACACATATAAGAAACACATGTAAACCACTTCTACTAGATTCTTATATGACTCAAATAAATTCGACATGCCAAGGGATAAACTGAACAGATCACTCGATCAGCCATAAAAGACCTTTAGACTGCTCCTTTCTTTAAATTTTTGGTTGTAAATTTAACCTACTTTCGTGACCTACTTTCCTGCCCCATTGACATACAGCTTAGAATGCCAGCAGAAAAATCCGTTCAAACATCATTTTCGGGTAAAATTAAACAATGCCTTTTGGTAATTCTCTTAGTTATACTACTTGAAACTATATGCTGGCATTTGCTTGGTTTTTGTGACAAAAAATTGACTTTGTATGCATCTTTAAACCAACATGTAGTTTTGGCACTCTCTACCAGTACCAGAAACAGCGGGTAGAAAGGGCACTAAAACGCTAATCCTCTTCCATCCTGCCCATGCAGGTTGCATCCTGGCAAATACGAAGATTCGTTGGGGTATTATTGCAGTTGCAATATTCAAAGGGTGACAGCAGAGCCGATTTTTTGAAATTGTTCATTTTTTACTTTGAGAAAGACTTTGACAAATGAGGTTGGACAATATTATGAACGGAACAAAATGTTGAAATGTTTATAAACCCCAAGTAGGTATATTTACTGGGCCAAGAGGTCAGTGCAACATACCGGTAGGCAGTCCTCTGGAATGTGTATTGAAAGGAAGGTTATATGTTGAATCAAACAGTAGTCTACCAGCAGTAACCAACTCCAATTCGATTTATTCAGCTTTCACAAGTTTAACACAGTTTAGGTTTGGGCAAACATCCCTCGAATCCCGTTTACATGAGTACATGAACTATGTAGTCTCCAATTTTCAGTTTAAAAACGTTACAGTAGGCCTACTTATATTTCATTGTTCTAACCTTAAATACTAATCCAAACAAGGGGTGATATGGTGCGTTTCACGCCAGGTACCCCTTTACATGCTTAAATGTTAAACAACAGTTTTTCATTTTTTTTTCAATTTTATCAAAAATCAATACTTTGAGAGATAAGTGTGCACGCTAGCTGTAACAAGTCATTCGTTATTACATTGTACTGCTAGATAAGAGATTATTTTTCGATGTGTGAATGAGAAGAATATGCACATGGGATACCATTGGATGGCATTATGGGCACATCTGTTCCAAAAAAGTAAAAAAAATGTAGATGGCGTCAGATGCCAAGTAATCTTTAGGCAGCCAACAAGCTGGATTGTCTACCCAGGAAACACAAAACGTTATTATAGCGTTGCCATAACGGTTTTTGGGTTATATAAACGTTACGGTAACGTTATAATAACGTTCTGTGTTTGCTGAGTATGAGGTACATCGCCAAGCAGCATAGAATAGCAGCAAGTCCAGTAATCATGATGATGGCAACAAAAACTTTAAACGAACCATGCTTATGGATAGGTGTCGTTCTTTCTGATCGATCCAGACTGACAAATGCAAGGGGAACAACCCTCTGGTCAGACTTTCCCCGGGGCAAAATAGCTTTGAAATGTCTTCCCTGGATTTCGAAAGGTTCCAATCGAAACCCTGATTAATGGCATAGAACCACACGTTAATGCAAATCTTGTACAGTACTTCATGTTGGTGCGCGACAACGCAGCCATTTATAAAGCACTGACCATGCAAATCGCACTGCAACCGCATAGTATCCCCCGTATAGATTGCCTTGCATATTGGCCAGATCTCAAGTGATAAAATATGCTTTAGGTGATTGGTAGAGCAGTGACCAAAAGGCAACATCCCTGCATATGTAGAACATCAGACCACTCCAGCAATCACTGACTGATCATGATTAATGAAACAGCTGGCTCCCAACGTCAGTGTCACAGATTCTGGAGACATGTTGCAGGAAGTTGTGACCTTATGCCAGAAGGGGCACATACGGTATTGATCACATCATGATCGGTTTATTATCTATTGCCTAAACCCTTTTTTTTCATTTGGAATCATACAGAAAATGATTCAAACTCGAACTAAGTTTGGTCAGTCTAGATAGCTAGATTGTCCGTGTCGTGTCAGGAGACCCTAGATCTCTAATCCCGAGAAATTAATGTGGAGAGCAGGCAGTCAGTAGTTGTTCTCGGGAGGCACACCTTGGGACACGGTTTGTTAGTACAGGGCTATTTGTTTTAATGAGTTTATAGACTTAAATCGGATAAGTCCACAAAATCGTGTTGGTCTCTTCAATAGTTTGCCTAACGGATATCTAGTTTATGCCTAACATAAAAATGGCGTAGAAAGAACAAACAGTTGTCTTAATGCCACTTTTAAAAGAGCGTCTTGATATTCAGGTTCCAAACATTGGATCAACTTCGATAGAAAAACTAATATACTTAACTTCAACCTTATATTTGTTTATGACGCACCCTTGCGGTTAGATGACATGCGGGTCTCTCCCTTTTTGGTATTTTTATTGCTTCGTAACTTAATGGGGTGGCCCCATTTTCACCTGTCATTTTAAGATGAGCACGGCGTGAAATTGCATTATTTGCTACTCTGTCTCTATTCACAGCAGTGGACTGATCAAGTGGCTTGCGGTAACGAGAAGCAGATTTGGACCCCAAGGTACCCCACGTTGAACTGGACACGACCAAACGCAAAGAGGTGATAGGTACTGTGAGCAGAGCATATTCCTCAGCCTCGCTGGAAGTAAAAGTTTTTTTAACGAATTATCTGACATTAAAAAGCAACAATACAAAGCAAGGGAGACAAGCGCAAGACTTGCGGAATTGATCTTTTAAAGACTTAAACAGTAAGAAAACGAACGCCACCTTTGTAAGTCAGACATGAACGACATAAAAATGTTGTGCTTCCTACTCATGTCTTTTTTTATCGTAACATTGAATGCAATGACCATGCATGAGCATCAGCAACCTGTGAGAAACTTGACCGTGGCGCAAGCAGCACGCATTAAACACATCCTGACCCATTACATTACAAACAACACCAGCGTGAACGAAAATAACCGGACCATCAATAGTTTAGTGGCGCCCGCATTACGTCTGGCGTTCCACGACTGTGTCGGCGTAAAATGTGACGGCTGTATCAATCTGAATAACGCAGGTAACGCCGGTTTGGAGACGGTTATTAACCGCCTTGATGAACTCTATGCCCAACACAACCTTTCGACAGTTATCTCTCGCGCAGATTTTTGGGTTTTGGCTAGTATCGCGGGGGTCGAAGTGGCAGCCAGAAAAAGCAAACTCTGCAGCCCCGCCCCGTGCACTCAACCGAACATTCAGTTTCGCTGGGGACGTAAAGATTGTGCGACTGCGCCGGCTACGAATGACACCCACCAGTTTCCAGACGCACACGGAGATCTAAATCACGTTTTGACGTTTTTCGGAGATAGCTTTAACATGACGACGCGTGACGTCGTGGCTTGTTTGGGAGCACATACATTGGGGAAAGCTAAGAGAAGCAACTCGGGTTTCGAGGGATTGTGGGTTCCGCAGGAAGACGAATTTGACAATCATTACTACACGGCAATGGTAAATCTTGCTTTTTCCCAGCGTAACGTCGACCTTCCCGGAACCAACAGCACTGGACATTGGCAATGGAATAACCCAAACAGGGATTTCATGATGTTTAACGCCGACATGTGTTTGCTCCGTAACATTACCCCAGAAGCCAACGGGCAGGTTCTCAGTTGCGCAGCCAACGCTAATGCATGTGGTCGGGCCTCCACGGCAGACATTGTTGAAGAGTACGCTATGTCGAACGAGCGCTGGGTTAGAGATTTTGAAAAATGTTTTCAGAAAATGATATCCCACGGATACGAAAATGGAACAGCAGACGAACTCAAGGAGCTCGTGGCTGACGACAGCGAGAACACAACGCCATCTACTACTACTAAAAGCTCAACAAGTAGTGGCAGTCTCATCTCTGAAATGTGTTATAAATGTTTGTGTTTCTTGTTCTTCATTGCATACTGCTTGGTTCCCCATCACTGACAGTTGAAACTGTTAATGGTACGAGTATAGGTGCTTATGTATATTCACGATTGAAAGGGTAAAACCACAGGGGGGTTGCTTGGAAATTACAAAGGCATTTTACTAGACTCGGTATACTTAAGCTAGTTAACTATGGATAATGGCGTAATACTAACGACAGTGTTTTCTGGTAGTGAATTTTCTTTATCGTTTCTTTTTTTTTTAAATTTTGACATAGATAGGAAAGCTCTCGTTACGTACGAAAATTAATTTGCCTCCGCAACTTTAATCACTTATGTAACCAAAGCCGAGATGAGAGGCTTTCATAGCCCATGACGGTCCTTATGATGGTACTTACATGTAAATCAATATTTTGATATTAAAGCCAATGGCCAATGCATAAACAAGGTAAAAGACGTAAGTATTAGAAAATTCCACAAACGTTCTTACAATGATGTTTAAGTGTTCTTTGTTGTATATTAAGTTCTAATATTCAAGAAAAAAGATGTTTCTATTCAGGTATGTGTTTGTCGTTCATCATTTATTAATAATTCACTCGTTTTACTCACTTGGGTAATGGATAAAAATTTGCATCATTTTTTTTTATTATTACCTTGAGCACTCGTCTCTTGTGTTTTAAAGAGGTACACGGAAAACGTGTCATCAGCTGCCAGCGCACTATATCTGTTGTGAAATATCAGAATTAATGAGTTTTTCCTGCTCAGAGAAATGATAAGAAAGTCATTCACTGCCATCTACTGGACGATGGAATTTCATAGAAACAAGCTAAAATCATAAATATTTTACATGGCGTTGCTTATCGAGCTTAGCGGAAAAGGCGAGCATTGAGGAAAGATACTCTCTTTCTGTTGCACTCATGACGCAGTGAAGACAATTAAGATATGGAGAACAGCACCAACAGCCTGTCCGCATTTTGAATAAGGTCTGTTGCACTCATCGTCTTACTGGAAACTTCGAAAATCCAAACAAGACCCTTACATTCTTTAAATCAGAATAATGGATAAACGTGTCTGAAGTCGATCTATATATAGAAATATAAACTGTTTACTTTCTTTATTCTCTTTGCCCCCCTGAAGAGAATTCTGTGAACCCTAAACGTTAATGCAAAGTGCTACGTGAGGCGCGTGAGAACACCGACAATTAATTCCAAAGACTTGAAATCTGACTGGAGCGAATCGTATTTATCGCTATACTTACCCCCAATTCAAATTGAAAAAAAAAAGATTTATGACTGTTAATGTTATTGTTGTGAGGGTACCTAGATGTAAATAAAAAGAAAACGCAAACAAAACAATGCCTTTACACTATAATTACCAAGTGTAGCAATCACACCAAGAGGTATTCTGTGTAGCGTTGGTTCAGACGTGTTCAAGATAGAATTTCTTAAACTGAAATCGTCTTACATGTTGTTTTAATAAAAAAGATAGAAACAGTCCCTGCACAAGAATGGCCCCAGAAAAAAGTCTTCTTGTTATGCAAATTCTTACGTCATTATAGTTATAATAACCATGATAAACCATGTCTTGTGTAGGGTATCAATCTACGAGTGCACATGCAGGTAGGACAGTTAAGATAGAAACATGATGACAATAATTCAAATACCGGTATTTTTTATTCTGGTCACGAGTATGATCTGAGCACCTGGTGCGGCTATAAAAAAAGAGAGCTGGTAAATTTGATAATTATGGCTGTCAACATAATTAGTTTTCTTACTTTGGAGAAATCATCATGTACCCCTCCATACACAAACACATTAGAGCGCATTCAGAATTAGATGATCCGAGGACTAACAGATCCGCGGATTTAATATGGCCGACTCACTTTAAAGCGATGCACTGATGGTCTCCCCGCCTCCATACGCACCGTCGCTGCAGGGGTCTAGCAATTAAATCTCGGAGCCGAGATTTAATCCGTTTTATGACAAGTGTGAAGGCGGATTAGACGGTTTGTTTCTTAGTGAGGTCGACCACATTTAGTCATTTAGTCACAGTTAGTCATCTGTCCTGAATACGCTCTTGGTCACAAATACACGCAAATAAACCTTCGCTCACTGAACTCATTCTCAGATAAAGAGAAGGAGAAAAAATAGCGGTCTTTACTATCCGCCATGAGCAATCCCCACAGCTGTTTCCATCGACATTGTTTGTTATCAATAGCTTCTTCTTCGTCGTCTTATTCTTCTAATAGACATCAAGAGAGAGAGAGAGAGAGAGGAATATCAAGCACTAATAGTTCATGACCGTGTACACTATCTTGTCTACATAGAGAGGGAAACATTACCCATAACATACTAAGTTATAATACTTGTTACATGTACCACTCTCATTTCAGTAATCATATAATAATGAAGATGCAGGTATCGTGTTCACCGTGTTCAAAAACCGTGTTCACAAACCCTCAGGGTTGAATATTAGTTAGTATTTTTACCTACCTGGCAATTCAGGCAAGTGTTGACATTCTTGTGGTAAAGAGGGCAAAGTGCAGGGTAAAGCAATCTTGCAGTGTTTATCATGAAATATCTAAGAGCCAATAATAACCCTTAATAATAAACGGTTATTCACGACACAGGAAAGATGTACACCAAGAGATAGTGAAAAAAGATAGTTCAACCAAAGATATAAAAGCTGTTAAGTACAGTAACACAGAAATTGATAATCAACCCCATGCTCGTTCGTGTACAGTTTACTAAGTAAGATAGTACACATACACTAGTGGGTGGGGCTGGTGTATCCATATATATGACCTGTTTACCTTGGAAGCGTAACATAAACATACTTTGACCTGACATTAAGAAACGTTTAAAATGCTAGTACATGTAACAACCACCAGCTCTTTTAGTGACAGTCACTCAACCCCTGCTACATGTAACCTTGAGATTGATTAGACGTTTTCGGTCATCTATGGCTTTGTCTGTTCGGTGTCTCTCTGGTCTGACTCTACAAGCACTTTAAATTGTTTTTAAATTTAAAACGGCAAAAGTAAAACTTTGGGTTCACATTGCCTTTGTGAGTTCAGAGAAGTTTTCGAGGTTAAATCACTGCAATTCCATGTTTGGATCAATGAACAACGTACACATATTTTGCTTCGATGAATTCGGGAACGAAATGAAAATGACAGAAAAATACGGATTTTTTTGTATTCTTGTGGCTTAGGTATTCCGTATTTTCACCGGGCATGTTAACATGGGCACAAGGGTACTTTTAAGCACCAAACATTGCTCCGATTCTATTTACACTCTGGGGTTGACTTTGCTTTCTTAAAAAAGCAAAGGCGGGAATATGAACACTTATCTTTCTTGTTTATTGGATTTTTAAAATACTCAACTTTTAATAATTACAGCTTCTCAAAAATGTTTGTCGGTCAAAACGAAGAGAGGCCATGAATCTGAATAAAGAGTAGGCCTACAAGGGACATTTTGCTCAAAATAGTATTTTCAAACACCGTGTGTTGGCAATTATGTGCCAGTCTCACGTAAAATAAAGGACTGGCTTCCTACCGCAGGTTGCAATGTGATGGTCGTTAAGCGCATAAATTAAAATTTAAAAATACACATTACAAAACTGGGGCACTTTGAGACATAGATTTTTTCATATCAGTCTGAGACCACGTCCTCAGCCGTTAAGATTGTGCGCCTTCGCCGACACGGCGGGCTTTGTTAAGAAGTACATTCAATCGAATGGACGTTGGATAAAATATTTTGATAGATGATTTTAAAAGATTATCTTTAAAGGTTACGAAAATGGATCCGCAGACGAACCAAAGGAGTCAGTGGCAGACGACAGCGACTTCTCAACGATATCTGGTGGCAGAATATCGACAACAGGAGTAGCCTAAAACAGAATACCCTTGATATCAGGGGATCCTAAAATGGTCCACAAAATTACACTGTCACTAGGAAAAGGTAGCCTACATCTGAAAAGTCTACGAACTTTCTTTTAATTATATTAAGCCTATGCTATATATCATTTGTTTAGGAATACATGATTATAAAGACGGCTCCTGTAAACAAAATTTGCATCTGTGTACAATTTTAAAATATTAATGTAACCGTGAAGTTTATGTGCGTCATATTGAGAAAAATCTATTTACATATTTGTTTGTAATACAATATTTACATAAACGGAATGAAAAATTAAAAGAAGTGTCATATGAAGTTTACCCTGGGTCCCTACTGGTGAATTAAATGAAAGCGTTTCTTCGTCAAATGAATATTAAATTCACACCTTAAAGATAAGAATTACACATACTGTAGAATTTGGACGCCCCATCCCCGCCTTTCTTTCTGTAGCCTATAATTTAATCCCATAGACACGATGCGTTCTTTCAAAAACACCTTGAGCAAATATGTAAAGAAGTGCAAAGAATTCACACCATCATTTCCACGCCTTCAGTAAAGAGAGGACAAAATTGCTGAGTATGTACATCAGCAGGTCAGAGTAACAATCGGTAAATACTAGGAAAACTGATCTGAGACGTCAGGAATTTCTAAGCGCCGATGATGTCGTCTTGGAGCGCTGTCCCCTGCCCCAAGCTTAAAAGCTTACAAAACAATTCAAGTGAAAATACACCTAAAGAGAGAGCACAGATAACTCAAATGCTTGCTTTGGTACCTTAAGCAACAAAATTATTTCTAGTGCTCTAACGTATTTTTATATTTTTTGTAAGCAAGCCAAAGCTGGTATTGTCAAAGTGTGACAGTTGTGAAAAGAAGGGCAATGTTGAGCGAATTGTGCCAGAGAGAGAGAGAGAGAGAGAGAGAGAGAGAGAGAGAGAGAGAGTATACACCAAAATATTACTATAAAGGTAATTAGTGCTATATTATACTGGTCCTCAGGTTGTGTTTAAAGAGTATATTGTTGTGTGTGCTCTCTTCCGGACACCTTAACTGGCTGACGGACTAGTAAGACTCTTTAAAGAGATATAAAAAGAATGCATTGTCTCCTCTGGACAGTGCCTACACTCTTAAAGATAGCTCGGTTTATAGTGCACGTTTATGGAGTTTTCAACTAGTATTGATAATAAGTAATGCAGCTAAATTTGAACGGCATGTAGACAATGATTCAACGTTCATAAAAAACTTTTTACATGTTTATTTCACCTTCAACTTAGAAGGCGACTATGAAGGAATCAATAGACCCTTAACGTAAACAAAATGCGAAAGATCCATTGACTTTTTCGAAAAGCACAACAAAGACCAAACAAGGCATGGCTTTCATGACACAATAACCTGAGAGAGGAGTATTGAGGTCGAACATTATTCTGCGTGCCCTGTGTATCATGGGTTCAGACTCGCTGAGCGAAGAATAAGCTTCCTGGTTCACTGTAAGTGGTTTTCGTTTTGTAATGACAGCTGTCTGACGATGAACAGTAAAATGTATGCAGTTTAAAATACAGACCGAACGACGAAATATTAGCAATTTAAAGATAGTTATCAAAAAAGGAAACCCCAATATAGAATTGGTATCCAGGGCGGTCTTGGTATGGCTTTGAAGGGACGTTGGCTGGTAAATATGACATGGCTTGCTACAATGTTCACCTTAGCAGGTAAGTTTACAATGTAGGATCGATTCGTGTACAGAACGGAAAGTTTCACCAAAAGGATATCACATTTTGCCCCGAGCTCAGGTCCATGGGCGGGGAAGGAGAGGGGGAGGGGGTAGAGGGCGGGGTCTTAGGAAGGTCCGCACATCTGGTTAGGAAAATATCCGCTCACGGTCACGGTTAAAGGTTTTTAGAGAAGCTCCCCCCCCCCCTCCCCACCACCAATTTGAAATTACTAGCTAGAACTTGTTCATTATATTAAACACACACACACACACACACACACACACACACACACATTCCCCGTGGCATACATGTACTAACGAGTGCATATCCATTTTTTAATTTCAGTTCCCGCATCTTTTAATGAAAAAATAACCATTTGGATGCCACGAGTTAAGGACAAATTGCCCATAAAACACATCAAACATCCTGTTTTGTAAATCCTCCGAAATATTTTAATAAATTGCTAATTTTGATCTCTGCTATAATAGACTGATATTTATTATAATATCCCATTTACAAATCATCAGACGGGAATATTTATTGTAATTTCCTGTCCTCATAATGCGACAGTCTTCCTTTTGCAGAATGGGGTACGCTCAACTTAATAAAAATCTGACTGTCAAACTTTTTTTCCTCTGTTAAAAGCTATGTCAATGACAGGCTAACGATGGGCCTAATTACCAAATTTATTAGTACCAATGAGTCATCTTTTGTTTAATCTATCTGATGTTAAAACCGGTGCCTCTAAGAGCACTTTATTTTGAGCGGCAACAGCAAAAGTTGGGTCCACAGTGCCTTCCGTTACAGGAGTCGTAGCGGAACATTTTCAAACCGAGTTTGGCGGTGTCCTTTGAAGTATCTTCAGACAGTTGTGGCCTTTCTATATACACATGGAGAGCGTTAAAGCATTCCAGTCTGGAAAATAAACCTACACGTTAAATGTTGCATAGATACCATTAAATTAGTATTGTGAATAATGAGAGGAAAGTGAAGAACCCCACGAGGTAATAGCAATAAAATAAAAACTAAAAAAGAATGAAAAATTTATAGATTTAAATGTTTGTGTTTGGCAAAACATCTCAAAAGTAATATGAGATATAATTTGCATCTCTTCTGTACTGAAGGCGGTATGGGACATATCGTATCTGTTGCGGATCTCCTTAATGTAGCAGTGTCAACCATAGGGAATTATAAAGGTAAAGGTCGTAATATAAAAACAGACTGTCAGTTATGAAATTGAAAAATCTTCAGGGGAAATTCTGAAGGCAAATTGATCCGCTTTACAACAAAGCCGAACCCATTATACCTAAAATTACGTAAGTGATTCTTACCCTCCTCTGCTGACTTGGCCATCTTGTGCAGAGAGGGCGCTGCTTCCACAGATTTCTGCGCAAGTTGGCGCTTCGCTACTGCACGTCCTGCGCACTGCAAACACCCATCCACTCCGGCCACTCATAGCAGTGCAAGTTGACTGGGCGAGTTCGTCCCGGTAGTTGTACGCAACTTGGTACTGGGATGTGCTGCAGGCTTCTACACAAAAAGAGAGAAGTTGTCAACGCGTTTGCATGCTTATATACATATCTCGATTCAATTCAAAAGATGATGCATTCGGGGATGTTTCCGGGATCTTGACACAGTGCAAAGCACCACCATGCAGGCACCACCAGGCAGGCACCACCATGCAGGCACCACGCCCACAGTAGTATGATACTGGGGACCGTCTAGACAGGGCTCACATCTTCAAGTTAAATAAGAAGGTTGTTAAAATTCAGTGTTTACACATTTTCATGAAAAGATAGATGGAGATATTGACTGATACTCATTTAAATAAATAACAGGCCTCAAAATGTCTTATTTCTAAATGTGAAAACAGACTAGAACAAACTTATCAAAGCTAAACAATTGTATTGGATTGCCCAAAGCTTTCATTTTGTTTATTTTTAACTATATAGGAACCAAACATTTTATAGCCCAATAGCCATAATAAATATATAAATGAATAAGTAAAGAAATAAAGTTACTAATGAATGATTTCAAGTCTTACCTCCCGCTGCTTCATCACAACTCATTACTCCCATAAGAGCAATGCAGGCTACATAGAGAGATGCCACTTTCACAACTTTACCCAGCATACTGTATATCGCTATAAAATCACTATAGCTTGGATTCAGCTCACAGCAGTGCAGAATCTATTAAAACCAGTGTTAACGTCAGTTATATATACCAGTAAATCAGAACTGTAATATCCTCCTTTACAAAATATGATTTGATTTAAAAGGAGAAAATTACAGGATGAGTCACGGGGCTCATTCCCAATTAAATTATCATTCTAAGTAAATCGATCCAACTCTGCGGGGATTCTGGCTGATTGCAATCAGATTAACTCGCATCCTCTGCAGATTACATAAAAGCTGGTAATGATACGAGTAGGTTGGAAATAAGAGGAGGCGTGTTAATCGGATATACCTGTATTCTTGAGAATAAACCCACAGAATCACGCTCTTCACTTTGTGCAAATCCTTGACACGGCACTAGCACAATTAATGAACAAAAAATGAAGAACCATATTGCTGCTGGTCATTATTCACATAAATGGTATTTATTTATTTATTTATTTATTGTTTAAAAAGTATGTGACAATAACAAAACCGTTTTTAAAGAAATGCGTTTGCGTTCAGATCACAACACTTTAGCATCTACTAAACGCCTCGGTCCTATGTTAAACATTAATCAGTATTTTCTACTTCATTGTTCACCTGGTTTTGCTCTGTATGCCTTTTTCTTTTCCACAAGTTAGAGGGGGTTATCAAGGGGGGGGGGGTGAAGGCCTGGGGGCTAGCAAGAGCGGGAGAATGAAGGGGCTTGAGAGGCATACTAGAAACAGAAAAACTACTTCCGCTGTGCATAAAAGTGTGTCAAAGACGATGAAATAGGGCATTAGATTCGTAGGGCATTACTTTGAAGGGGAGGCAGTGTCTTTCAACTCAATTCAATTTTGACAGCTGCACTTGGTAATATTGTTAAAAAGAAAAAAAATATATCCTTTATTTGATGTGCTTCTGCTCACTATTTAGAATATATATATGCCCAACAGCTTGTTGTTTAGAAGCATTTTCGTGACACCAGTTCCGTTACGCTTGAGAGACAACCCTTGCACCATTATGGATTGAGTTGCACAAGTAAAACAAAAGCATCAGATAGTGGTACTTTGTTCCAATGACTCTTCATTCTTTTTTTAATTCAGCTGCAAACCACATAACACAGGCTACGCCATGCACGGATGGCGACACGTTTCCACACCCGTCTGGAGATTGCAACAAATACCTTATATGTGCAGGCGGTTCTCTTCAGGAGCAGAATTGTATCACCGGTCTGAACTTTGATCCTAATACCCATGGCTGCGTTTGGCCCAGCCAGAACGCTTGTCCTACGACTACTACTACAACCACCACCACGGCGCCGTATACAGGGACAGGTAGCACCACTCCTCGGACAGTTATTCCTACTACACCGGGAGTCACGTCAACAACAACATGTACAGATGGACAATACTACGTGCATCCCTCCGGGGATTGTAACCGATATATTTCATGTGCAAACGGCATACTTTTAGAACAGTCATGTGGAGCAGGCCTCTTTTTTCGTCCAGACGATAGTACTTGCGTTTGGCCAAGCGATTATACTTGCCCTACGACCACCACTACCACGGAACTATATACAGGATCAGGTACTCCTACTACCCCAGGAGTCACGTCGACAACAACATGCACACATGGCCAGGATTACGTGCATCCGTCTGGAGATTGTACACGCTATCTTTCTTGTTCAAACGGCATTCTTTTAGAACTGTCATGCGGGGAAGGACTCAACTTCAGTCCAAAAGCCAGCACCTGCGTTTGGCCCTGGCAGTACACTTGTCCTAGGACCACCACAACAACCACTACCACGGCACCGTATACAGGGACAGGTAGCACCACTCCTAGGACAGTTACTCCTACTACCCCAAGAGTCAAGTCTACAACAACATGTACACATGGACAGAACTACGTGCATCCGTCAGGAAATTGTACCCGATATCTTATATGTTCGGACGGTATACTATTAGAAACATCGTGTGCAGCCGGCCTCAATTTCAGTCCAGATGAAAGTTACTGTGTTTGGCCCAGTCAGTACGCTTGCCCTACGACCACCAGTTCAACCACTAAAGCGATTTCGTATACAGAAACAGGTTCCGCAACAACCGCTTCCATGGCCCCGCACACATGGACAGACACCACGGCAACCACGCAAACCACTACAACATCTACCACAGCACTGTATACAGGGACAGGTAGCACCACTCCTCGGACAGTTACTCCTACTACACCAGGAGTCACGTCCACAACGACATGCACACATGACGGACAGAACTACGTGCATCCGTATGGCGACTGTAACCGTTATCTGACATGCTCGAACGGCATGATTTTAGAAAAATCATGTTCGACAGGTCTGAATTTCAATCCGTATGAAAATATCTGTGTTTTGCCCAGCCAGTACTCTTGTCTTACGATTACTACACCAATAACCTCAACCGGCGCTCTCTTTCAACATTCCCTTGGTTTGTTTACGCTATTATTGTTCTGCCTGCTGTAGTTAAACATTTGAGTGTAACCACATCAATATTAAAAGTTTTTTTGGTAAAAATTATGAACAAAGGTAAAAATATTGTGTTGTGTAAAAAGATTGTTTGATAAGTACAATATACGTGTGCGTAACAAATATTTATGTCTCCTCATTAACCCAAGCGAAAGGATAAGTAAATGACAAACACAGATATAGTGTTCGAAGTTTGGCCGGTAGCGGCCGCTTTTATTGAAAGATCCCTCTAGTAAAGAATGGTGTTAGATATTAAATTGCATTAGATAATGTTAATTAGTTAAAATTACGTAATGTCATATCATAAAAATAAATATCAAAACAAATAGTGCACATATTTTCATCCGTGGGGTTGCAAAGAGTATTTATGTGCATGTAGTATTATCTGTTCATTTGTGTTGGAGTACACATATATATGTTACCACAGTGACAACTAAATAAATTATTAGCTTTTTACTTTTTACTGTATTTTGTTTATGCAATAAAGGCCGGACTCCAATAACTTAAATCAAATAAATTAATAGAAAAAATACAAAATTGTTACTGATATGTTAGGCTAGATATCAGTAGAGAGTAATTTGAAAATTTCTAAAAGATAAAACGAAATTGTAATATTGTTAAAAACAATGCATTCAAAAGGTATCTACAACAGCAGTTCGATGATGTGTTTTAGTAAATATCTAATTCTTTTGAAACGATCAATTAATTTTATCTGTATAAATCTCTTTATATATATATATGGCACAGAACACACGATGTTTAAAAATACTATTTTGAGCAAAATGTCCCTTTCATTCTTTATTCAGATTCATAGCCTCTCTTCGTTTTGACCGTCAAACATTTTTCGAGAAGCTACAATTATTAACAGTTGACTATTAAATACAATAATCAAGAAAGTTAAGTGTTGACATTTCCGCCTTTTCTTCTCGTTTTATATATATAACGTTAAGATTGTGAGCATTCGCTGACACGACGGACATTGTAGACGTGCAATGAATATTAAACTCACAGCTTAAAGAAAAGAATTATAAATACTGCAAAAATTTTACGCCCAAACTCCACCTTTCTTTCTGTGGGCTATAATTTTATCTTAAAGACACAACGCGTTCTTTCAACAACACCTTTAACAAATACGGGAAGAAGTGCAGAGGTTTCACTTATTTCAGTAAAGGTTTGTACATGAGCAGATTAGAGTAACAATCGGTAAATACTAGAAAATAATCTGAGACGTCAGGGATTTCTACGCGCCGATAATGTCGTTTTGGAGGGCTGTCCCCAGTCCCCAAGCGTAAAAGCTTACAAAACAATTCAAGGGGAAATACGCCTAGAGCACCCTGAGCTTCAGAGCTAACTTGACACTAACCTCTTCACTGTAGCCTATCTTCATCGTGTCAAGTAACCTCTGACCAGATTCGATTGCCTCCGCCGCCCGCCAATCAAATTTAAAAGCCCGCACTCAATGACTCATTAAACGATCTAGCCAATGAACGCGAACGAGTCAAAGCGCGCTTTGTTCAAATCCGGACCAATCAAAGATAAGGCTGAATATCAGGGACTTGCCGTAACCTGTGGGCAGCACGCAAATAACATCGTCTCTCAGTAGATAATGATGCAGGGACTCAAACTGCTAGACCCTATGGTTTCAATTCCGATTTACTCATATTTTGCAAAGAATCAAGAGATAACTTAACACATTCTTTTTCGTAGTCACTCGCCTTGCTTTCTTTGTGTACGGTAATACACTCGGAACTACTCGGATGTCTCCGCACTCGACAATAACTATGTTGTTAGTATGGAGCTTGCGGAATCAGCCGAGGATTGCCGATTGACGGTCAACCAATCAGCGTTTTCACCAAACTTTGGTGAAAAATTTTGAAACATGGATTTGATTGGCTTATATAAACTAGGTCAAACTATTTTCGTCAGAGGTTACTTGACACGATG